GAGACACTGTAGCACTGGGATGGCTGACAGCCACCACAGCCTAACCTGAAAGCTAAAAACGCCCACAAACAAGCAACAAACCAAAAAAGAGGAGGGACTAGCTTATTTTCATCAGCTGAACAAATCGCAAAAAACCAGACAGAACGGGCAGAGCACTGACACGGCAGCATGCTGGAGTGTGAGCATCACTGCAGCTGTCATGCATCTTCCTAAATCGGGGGGGGGGGTGTTCACCCCGACCCCTTGCACCGGTTTGTAAAAACGCCGGGCTGCCGTAGGCTTTTCCTGACAGCTCCTTCCCCGCCCTCTCCGGGCAGCACCATTGGGCTGATGAGATGCAGCAAGGCACGTGCAAAAAATAAAGCAAAAAAAGAAAATAAAATTAAAAAAGCGCCTTTCCTACACGGAGCCGCCTGCCCCGGCCCTCCCGCCGCACCTGCCCGGCCTCGAGCAGGCCTCCCTGCTGGGGACCACCCTGGGGCCGCCTCCTCTTCGGGGCTCGTGAGGGGGAGGGGATGTTGCTTGCCAGCAGCTGTGTGTTGGTGAGGGAGCGCTCGGTGCTGTAGGGTGTCCAGGTCATGGTGATACCCTAAAGGTATGGCCCTGTGAGGTTGGAGTGTCTTGGGCTAGGAGAAATCCTAATGTCTGTTTCTGAAGATGTGCTGTAGAGACACTGCCGTGAGCACCTGCTGCTGTAGTGCTGCTGGGCCACTTCAGCACCTCCATGATGGGCACGGGGGCTCCCCCAGAACTTGAGGTGTTGGGTGGCCTTACGTTCTTTCATATGCATTCATATGCTATGAATGCATAGCTGACTGGGTTTGGCACCACACCTGTGTTTACGAACAGTCAAGAAGCTGCTATGCTGGAAAGCATCTAGAAAGCTACGGGGGTAGGGGAAGGAGTCTCTGTATGGAGTCAGCTTGCATCTTTTTTTGACTTTTCAGCTCAGATGTTGACTAGAGGGGAATACACAGAGAAGGTAGTCCTGTAAGCCGTATAGCTTACCTGGTCCAGGCTGGTACTGCACAGAAATTGTCCTAGTGGCTTTTAGGTCTTGATTTGCGTGCTACTGGGATGAACTGCCTGCTGTTTCAGGCTTGACTCTGTTGCAAGCTGTGTATCCCAAGCCTGGAATCATCTTGTTGTCTAGTCTCACCAAGCCTGGAACAGAGGGGTGGCCCAATGTAAGTGTGATCAAATCCTCTTGAAGGAGGGAGGAAGGTGGGTAGTGAAGGGGAGGGAACAAGTGTCCAATCCCACCAAGCTTCCTTTATGGGTATATACAGAGTGCTAGCACTGCTAGTTATTTTAATGCCCCATTGCGCTGCTAAATCAATTACAGACTTGCAATAATTTGGGTGTCCACAGGCCCCCTAAATCTTGTTATAAACTTGTATCGTAGCAGCTTTAGGCACCAGGTTTTTCTTTTAATACTTGTATGGAGCAAATACTGCCTCCTCATAGGCTCAGTAGGACTTAAGTAGCTGTTCCACTTGGGAATAAAACATGTTTTTACTCTAAGCTTCTGTTTTCAGCTGCTTAGAAGTTCTTGGGCTTGTCTCATTCATGCTGGGTTTTGGCTTGTAGATCTATTTCATAAATCTAACCAGCCACTTGAGTGGACAGTGAGGAGAGGGGTAATGCCAGTTCTAAAACTTTTCTGCTGCTCTTTGTGTTTGTATAACCCTATGGCTTTGTTTATAAAGCTTTAGGCTTGGCAGGTATGCAATCCTCTGGACTGATTTTTTTTTTTCTTTAACATAAGTAGGTCTTAGAAGTGGTTAATGTTACGGCCCATGGGAAATGATACATAGTACATGCTGCTTTCTGAAAGGACTAGACTGAAGTCCTAATATTAATGAGTGTTTTGTATCTGGGCTGTCTAACTGCAAATGTCTCAGATGACTTGGAACAAACTACTTTGAGTGTATCGTGCCCTTTATATATACACCCTTTAAATAACCTGGAACTCTTATAGGATGGAATGTCACCAGATAACTTCCACACAGCATTAACATTGGCTCTTATTAATCACTGGTAAAGAGACTTAAACCTTCAACAATGAAGTGTGCTTGCGTTTCAGCTTTTTTCTTACTACTTAAACAGTGGTAACTGGAAGTAGGCCAAAGACCTTTGGGGAGGAGGAGTTACGGATAAGCGTATCGGTTGAATTCAGAGCTTGAGGAAGGTCAAAGCAACTACAGTAGCTCAGCAGAGAAAGACAAGACCACTTTCTTTCTGCACCACTGAGTATAGACATGCATTTTGCTACTGCACCTGAAATATGCCGTGTAGCAAGCTGAAGCTGTAAGAATGAATTCTGCAAGTGCTGTTAACATCCTTTTGTCTTGACAAGCTGGAGTCTGTTTCAAACATACCTGAACTCTTTTGGTAAAATTATTTAGATTCTCCAGGTCAAGCATATGTGGCACCCTGATTTACAAGGAATGTGATTGGCAGTGCCTCAAAGTTATTGCTTGCAATTCATAGTCAATAAGCCATGCTTAGTTCTGGAATGGTTGGTATATGGAATGTTGTAGAGTACTGTAACTGTCACTGCTTGCTGTATAATAATGTAAAGTGCTGTTCTGAACCCCAAACTTGGTTTAAAAGGGTAGTAAATACTCTTGTCAAAGCCAGACTTGTTAAATTGCTGTTCTTAAAGATGAAATGACTCATTCAGGGTTCTCTGAAAAATATTTGTCAGGAAAGAATATAGGAAACCTGAACCTGGCTGTCAGAGGCCTGCCTCAGGAAAGTGGACCGTTAAAACACAGATACTAATGGAGTTTCAGTCTTGCACACACTTTGACTGCAGAATGAAATTTATATTATTGTAGGATGAAACAGTCAATATTATTATCTAGTGTTATTGGTATACTTGTTAATATCATAACTAATACTCACAGTAAGTGGTGGTGGTGGCAGAGATTGCAAAAGGAAGGTGGCTAATTAATACCTAGAAAAGAAAGAAACCTGTAAATACTAAAAAACCTACAACGCATTATCTTGGTTTTTCATTGTTACCCCAGTAGAGTTACTCTTTTCCTAGAGTTGGAGTAAAGAATAAATAACCTCTGCTAGCAAAACACTTGGTTTTCCATCATGGTCAGGAAGTATGAGAGACAGTCAACAAATGTCTCTGGATAGCAGGGCTAGAAAAGGCCTCGAGCAAGAACCTGATGTAGCCACGTGCCCCAGGCCTGTGTTGGAACCAACCATACCTGTATCCCTTCCAGCAGATGTTTGCGTAACCCTTTTTTTTTTTAATTCCAGATGATGGAGATTCCAGAATATCCCCCCAGGCAATGTGCTTCAGTGTTGACCTACTGTTAGTTTCCTCTCCCTAACATCTAACCCAAATATTCCTCCCTGCAATTTAAGCCTGCAACTTCCTGTCTTTTCCACAACAGACATGGAAAACAGATTCTCTTCCTCTATGCAGCAGTCTTTCATGTATGAAAGACTGTTATATCTCCTGACACTTTTCGCTTCTCTAGACTAAACAACCCTTACTTTTTTCAATCTTTCCTTGCAGTCCAAGCTTTCTAGAGCTGATCACTCCTGCAGAATGACTTTGGACTCTCTCCAATGGGTCTGCTCAGTTATCAACTGGAAAACTCATTGTATGAATTATCACAACTTAGCCACTTGGCAGAACAGATTTTGCGAAAATAAATTGAACACTTTAGTCTTCGCAATCTCAAATCTGAGTTTTGAGCAGGAAGTCAGACTCTGGATCATGGTCAGGCAACTGCAAGGGTTTTAGAAGTTAGAACAGTCTGGGAAATTATCACCCCTTTCTCTGACAGGAACTCACCGTGGGCCCAGCACTTCTCTACTGTGGTGCCAAGTAAAACTGGCAACTTAAACAACCGCATTGGCCATCCAGGTGGTACCTGAGGGCTCTGTACCTGGGTGTTTGCGCAAGGCAATGGCCCTCTTCTGAAGGCGAAGCTTCTCTTGCCCTGTAACTCCGCCATGGTATGAAGGAGGGAAAAGCGCATGACCCTTCCTGAGGGAGAAGAGTCCTTTGCAAGGGTGCTGTGAGGGAAGGGCGGTTGCTGTGGGGGCTCGCTGCCCTGTGGCAGGAGCTGAGGGGCTGTAGGAGGCAAAGGCCCAGCTGGGGATGTGGGGCTGAGGCCTGCTCGCCAGGGCTGGGCCAGTGGCCTCCTGGGGACAGAACTCCTCCTGTGCTGTGGGCAGGAACGTCCCGGTCGGGGGGGAGGACGAATGACACCCCCTGGCAGCCAGAGCTGCTTTCTGCCTCTACCTGCAGAGGCGGGGGTGCTTTGCCCCCAGGTGTGACCAGCATCGCCTGCCGCCCTGCCTCAGGAAAGCAGGCCTCGAGCTGCTCGCACCCAGCCTGGCCGCCTGGAGGCGCTGCGGGGCCTCCCCCGGGGCGGCGGCGGGGGGCTCCATGGCGGCTCCCTCCTGGTGGGGCGGCGGCGGTGGCCTCCATGCAGGCTCCCTCCTGGTGAGAGGGGTGTGTGGGGCTCGGAGCCCCGGGGGCCGCAGGAGCGGTGTGTTTTCAGGGCCAGCAGGCACTCTGCCGGGAAGCTGGTGGCGGCCTTTGCTGCTGAAAGGAGGTGCCTGTGTGAGCAGCTTGTTCAGGGGCGCAGGTCACTGTGGCCTGGTGAACTTCGGCTTTGAGTGTGACTAGTCCCTCCCTGTGGAGACGGTGGCGTGTGCTGTGCCTTCCCTCTCCGGTTGATAATGCCGTGGAAAATAGCTGGCTTCTGTGTAGGATTCACAGAAAACAAGCTGGAAACTGGGTCAGAAATCTTTCTGGTTAAACAAATGATACTTGTCTGAGGGGCCTGTCTGGCTTGTTTTACAGCCTGCCCTGTGCTCTCACCACAAGTGTTAACTAACCTCTCTTCTGTTTCGGTTCTGCCACAGACCCCTGTGAAGGTAAACATGTTAAAAACAAACTATCTCCCCCTCCAGCTGCAACTTATGAGTGTAAAACTTTCACTTGTAGGAATTCAAAAAAAGAAGCTGATCTAAACCTGGCACAGGCTCGTATGAGAGACCTTGATGCTCAGCTGAACGCGAAGGAAGCTGACTTGGCGACAGCTTTGAATGAGAACCGAAGTTTGGAGAATGACCTCCGTGAATTAAAGGATCAAGTAGTCACTGTAAGACTTGTTCCTGGAATTTCAACTTTGCTTTTGTTCCTGAAGCTATTGCTTGTTTTTCCCCAACTAGCTTACTGAGATTTGAAAGCAGGGAAAGACTTATCCATGGCAGTGACAGGTGGACAAAACTTCTGCAATCTTGCTGAAAGCAAATGCTACTGATAGTTGGTCTGTTAAAACTTCCACCTGTTGTAGGTACCTTTAATTCTATTCTATGACCACAGTAGGTAATGTTTCTTGTTCTAAGGACAAAGGAAGTTGAAATGTGTTGCACTTCTATAGCCCCTGTAGCGTTCTCTAACATGTCAGCAAAGGGAACATTTGATGGACCCTGCTTCACTGTGCTTAAATCTAGGCAGAATAAATAAGTTCTGACTACTTTTTTGTAGGCTTTTGTGCTACTAAAATGAACTCTGCTTGAGTTGCTACTCAGTGCATTTCTAAGAGCGTAGGTTTTGTATCTTCATGCTTTAATGTGATCATTGAATAAGCTAACTTCAAATCTTTAGGATGAAAACTTAAAAAACCGCAAACTTGTATCATTAAAGCAGCACACTCCAACACTGGAAGTGTATAATAGTTTGTTAACATAGTTAGGCTGTATTTGGAGGATTTTACTTGTTAAGCAGCAAACAAATGATGTTGGAAGTTAGGGAGAAGTTTGGAACACTTAGTGTTGTGAAGGGGAGGAATGTACATGGATGGTACAACTGATTCATCAGAAGTCTACTTTGAGGAATCAAACTTAGCTGGTGGGATTAAGGGCTGCTCTTTATTTGCCTTGTGGGAAATCTGGTCTACATAACTAAATAGGATTCTGTTGCTGATATGCTGGATCCCTCTGAAGTAAGAACTTAAACAGAGTAACCAACTTCACTCAAGCAGTGTGTCTTGATTGCTGTGGGAATGAAGTTGAATGACCTGTAATAAGTTGACTGTCTTAGTTTTGAAAAATGACCTCTTAATTTTGATTACCTGATGTGTGTCTCTTCTAGCTGAAGCTGTCACTGGAAGATACCAAAAAGCATCTCCACAGCGAAATGTTGAGGAGGGTGGACCTGGAAAATCATATGAAAACTTTGCAGGAACAAATGACGTTCCAGAAGCGCCTTCATGAAGATGTATGTTTTAGCTTATTAACGAGGATTTTTTTAGGTGTCCATGATCCCTGGAGGCACTTAAAAGCAATGTTAAGATGTGCTTTATCCTTAAAAAGGTAACTAGCTGAGTCAACCTATGACAGTCCACCAGCCAATAAAATCCACCTAACTAGGAAGACTTCAAGAAAGTACACAACCTCATGTTAACTGGCATAGTACCAGTAGGTATCTGGAATATGAGATAATTTTCTCAGGCTGCACTTCTGAAGGTAACTACAATCCCAATATACTACTTTGTATAACTGAAAGTGCATATATTACAGTTAAATGATTCCAGATGTTTGCTAGAAACCTAAAATAATCGAAGAAGTTAAATCTCCTTTAATAAGCAACTTATGTTCCCTACTTCCTTAATACTTATCAAAGGTGTCTGGTAACCTTTGTGTGAAGTCAGTACATAGAACTAAAAAACATGTGAATGTAAACCAACTTCCTTCTGACTGGAAGGAATCTCAAAGTGTGTGGTTTCAGTGATAGAACTCCAATTTCTCTAACCAACTGCTATTACTTTTTGAATAAAACAAGAATAGGTGAAGTAACAGTGCTTAAAGAAACTGAAGTATATATGCATGTGCTCTAAGTAAAGAAAAGCAGAGAAATCCATCTAGTTCAAAGAATTAGTCTTAAAATTAAATACAAACTACTGCATTTATTAGTTTAAGCAGTGTTGGCAGTGAGGAAGCAAAACAACTCTGGCAAGGTGGAAGTACCCGACCTAATGGATGAATATCCAAGATCTGAATAAAGATGAATTACTGTGCACTCAATGATAAATCTGCTTCAATATTGAATGACTTGTTAAGCTGGTACAGTAAGTTCAGTCTCAAATCAAACTGTATTGGCTTGCTTATTCTCTGAGAAACTTCTTCTTCTCCTAGGAGCTCAAGGAGACAAAAAGAGTTCATGAGAGCAGGATAGCAGAAATAGAATCTGGCCGTCAGAGAGAATTTGAGAGTAAGATCTCGGATGCTCTGCAGGGTCTCAGAAAACAACATGAAGAACAAATTCAAGGATACAAAGAGGAGCTGGAACGAACATTCAGTGCAAAAGTGAGTCTGTAAAACATGCCAATAAAACAAAGCTTTAGTTCTCTGCACCTTAATAAAGTCACGCTAGCATAAATAGCTGACTGATGGAGCCCTTGCATTCAGTGCAGAGCTTCTTGGCATAAGTTGTTATGGAATTTTGAAGCAGTGTCAAATTTGACAGTAGAACTTCTACAAACACTTGGTCCAAAACAAAACTGGCTCAAGCATAAATACTGTCCCTTTGGGGAGCAATCAGGAATGGCTAATGTAATGAAGTTGATCAGAATTCAGACTTCTGACAAATCTGAGAGCCTGTCTGACAAATTCAGGACCAAGGTATGCTATGTTTGTATTGAGCAATTTCAGTATTATTGAATAAAACTTGATCTACTGATTATAGTGTTACTAAAATGCATGAAATAAGGTATTCTTACAGTTCTCCAAGAGCACTTTTAAATGTGTGAGTGTAAATGACCCTTTCCAGTTGCCTAGTACTGGATAAGGGGGAGAGAGGGTAGCTATGAAGTAGCCTGACAGTTTGTCTTCCAGAACTGGTCTGTCACCTCTTTCCCAGCATTAGCCGGAAAAAGTAATACTTTAGGCTTATACTGTTGGTAGGTAAGATCCCAGGGGTTCCTGGGTTGGTTGCAGTGCACAGTGTTGGTATCTTAAGCCTTCTTTAATACTTGGTGCAGAATCCCATGATCTGCTACTTCTCTCAACAAGTACATGTGTTCGTTTCTTCCTGGTTTTTTCTGGCTTTCTCTATACTCCAACCTATATGCCAACTCAGTGAATTCCTTTGGATGCTTCTGTCCAGGTTTCCACTGGAAATTCTGTGAGTGCCTCTTGTAGGAGCATGGCTCTACTTTATCCTTTCTTGCAACATCTCAAGATTGACTTGCTCTAGAAATAGCTCAGTGCTGCTTATAGTGATGCAGGAACTGCTTAGTAATAGAACTCTTGGGGAAGAGCAATAGTTTGATAAGCATACCTAATATCCTGTAGCCCCATGCTTTGACAAGCAGCTTCTAAACATATTGTCCATTGTTCTGGAGAATCAATTTAGTTAATATCTATACAAAGTCTTTGTGCATCTGTAACTGAAATATCCTAATCCAGCAATTTTCACTACCTGATTATTGCTGACTTTTTCTGACATTCATGTCAAACTGTGTAAACCTCCCTGAAAAGCAATGAAAAACTTTCTGACCTGGACTCTATTGGTATCTGCACACTTAAGTAAAACATAACTATTTCCAGATGTAACAGCTGGAAATCACTTGGTTTTCCTTCCCTATTTAAAATATGTGGTCATAAGCAACTCATTACTAACAGTGACTTATCTGTAGATGGAGAATGCCCAGCTATCTGCAGCAAGAAATAGTGACTTTGCCAATGCTGCTCGGGAGGAGCTGATGGAAACAAAGCTGAGAGTTGATACTCTGACATCTCAAGTTAATCAATATCAAAGCCAGGTACTATCTTTATTTGTATATCCTTAGAATTATTTTAATTTAGATACCCAATTCAAAACACTGGCCTCTCCTCTCTAACATTCAGTTATGGCTTAATTGATTTTTCCCTCCCCTTAATTTTAGAATGTTGCTTTGGAGAACAGAATAAGGGAGCTACAGGAGACACTGGATTATGATCGCGATCTCCATCGAAGGCGTATGGCTGAAAAAGAGAAAGAAATGGCACAAGCCCAGCAGCAGGCGCAAGCACAGTTGGAAGAATATGAGCATCTCTTAGATGTGAAACTGGCTCTAGATCTGGAAATAAATGCCTACAGAAAGATGCTGGAAGGAGAGGAACAGAGGTAGGCTATGACAAGATCCTCATATGAAGACTTGCTCCATCCAAGATCTCTACGCTAATTAACTGTATATTCTTCAGAATGTGGAGGAGACAAGAAATAAATATTAATATGTGATTAGTGCCACAATTTAGTTCTTGAAGCATAATCTTCTGTAGATGGTATTTATATCCCACATCCACCACATGGTGTAGTAAGATGAAGTAACTTGATAAATGCAACCGATAAAGTTCAAAGGTCCATTAGACATCCCTCCCTAGAATCAAACATTCTCAAAGCTTTGTGCTACATCCTGGAGATGTATCAAAGACCGCGCTCAAGTTTCATGAATGAAACTGGGAAATTGTATCCACTCCCAACTATCCAAACACTGCCTGGTGAGAACAACATGAACTCAATACATGCTAAGAAGGGTCAAAAACTTAAACTACTTCCACTGAAGATTGTGTCTGTAGGAACTTTAAAGGAGTACTTATTGCAGTTGGGAATCTTTACTTATCGACATAAGGTTGCTCTGAACTCTAGGGCTGGGGCTGTCTTCCAAACTTAACAAGCTACTTAGCTAGTCTTGCCAGTAAAAATAAAATCTTATATTCAAGGCTTCATGGAAAGCTTGGATATAAGAAGCTGTTAGGCTTGGCTGTAGTGGGAGGATAGGAGTGAGAAGAAATAAGCACATCATATATTCAAGTGAATGTTATCTGACTCCCTTCTAGGCTAAAGCTGTCACCCAGTCCATCTTCACACAGTACTGCAACTCAAGCAACAAGCCAAGGGCGCCGGTTCCTGCATGGGAAGAAAAGGAAAATGAAAGAAGCCAAAAAGAGAGGGCGTAGTGCTGGATTTAAGACTGTTCAGCATGCTTCATCCTCTGGAAATGTATCTATTGAAGAAATTGATGCAGATGGGAAATTTGTCAGGCTTAAAAACAACTCTGATGAGGTACTTCTGTTCATTCGAGTCTGCACGGCCTTCACTGCAAAGTGTGACTGCTTGTGAACCGACTTGTAGCTTAGTGAGAGATGACAATAGGGAAGGATGAAGAGATGAGGGAAGAGTACTGCCAAACTAAATACAAACTGGGAACTTCTCAGCTAACCTGGCTGCTGTCAAGAGAAGACTAGAGACTGACTCTTTTTTGTACTGCAGGTGTTTTGTTCACAGGGATGTCTGGGAGGTGCTTTTGGGGGGAGGTGCACTGGGTTCTATGGTGCAGAAATCTAACACCTTCAGTTGTTTCTCGTCAGATTCAGGCTAGTGCTATCAGAAGTACTACTTGTCCTCAAACTAAATAAGGTGCTTAGTAAATTGGATAATGACAGCTTCTTATTACTTAGAAATGTTTAAAACAGCTAAAAGGGTGAATAGAGCTGACAGTATCTAAGCCATGTAGAGGGTTTATCTGACCAATTATCTAATTCTTGGACTAGTTTAGTCTGCAAATCTAGAATTATTAGAATTAATCCTCAGAGCTCCAAAACTCGTGGCTGGTAGCTTAGTTGCTTCAGCCTGAGACGCCTTAAACCTTCACAGGCCACTATGTATGTGTTCATATATATATGGCCCAAGTTGGTAGATGGGTATGACCAACTTCATTCATTAGAATCTTCCTGGTAAAGAGCATCATGATCCCCTTTCAACAGAAGGCAAGAACAGATGTGCCTAAACTTGTGGGACTAAGATTAATCCTACGGAAGTACTGGGAGAAAACATAGGGAGGCTTTAATGGAAACTTGAAGGCTTCCTCAAAATGATCAGATTCTTGTACGCTACAGGAGTGGGACTAAAACTGACCCTTGAGTCTGGAAAGAACCTTGCCACTTGTATGATATGGTGGTGGTCTGTAATGCTGAGAGAAATTTCTTGTCCCACAGGATCAGCCACTACATGGATGGGTGTTAAGAAGACATCTTGGAAGCGTGTCAGATGTAACATACAAATTTCCTTCACGGTTTACTCTCCAGGCGGGCCAAGTAGTTACAGTAGGTAGTGGTTTTGTAAAACTTACTCAGAGCTCTGTTCTTGTTATGTTAGATGGCAATAGATTCATGTCATAAGGAAAACTAAACTGATACTGCAAGTGCCTAAAGAACTAAATCCTTATTTTGTGGAGAGGGAGACAGGGAAAAATCCTTGCAACAACCTGATCTGAAATGACAAATTTTCTTTAAAGCTAAATCTTGGATTGAACTTGGATCATCCCAGATTGGGATGTGCTGTTATTATGAACAGAATCAATATATTCTAGCTTACTCTTAGGGGTTCCCCATACCCCTGTGATTTGATACAAGTTGTGCAAAGACTTTTACTGTTGCTAAAAGCTTTAGTCCACTACAGTTCAGCAATGCCGAGCTCACGGTTTATGGTACTAAGCTAAATACTAGCTCTAAAATCATACTCTAAGTACACTTAGATAATGATCAAAGAGCCTAGTTCTACACTCTGCACTCCAAACTCCATACAAGCTTGCTCAAGAATCTGTGAGTGACTCCAGGCTAGAGGCTATCTTGTATACACAAATTGCTGCCATGAGTGTCTCTGTAACCAGACATACTGGTCTTGGCTCTGACTCAAATAGTATGCATGTCTGAGCAAGGCTACCTCTACATCAGGTAGAAGCTGTTAACAGCCTTTTCTGTGCTCACTCTTTTACAGTCTTCAGTTAAAAAAACATTACCACCATTCTTAGTTCTTTTCAGGACCTACCAACCTGCCAGGGATCATAGTAGTTCATGTTTGGTATTGGAGTACTCAAGAGTTGTATGTTAGACTGAATCCTAACTTAACTACAAATAAGATTCTTCAGAAGCTCACTCTAAATCTGTTGCAGATCTGGGGTGCAGCTGCTGGTGTAAGCCCAGGTCCTAGTGATCTGGTCTGGAAGTCTCAGAAGTCTTGGGGAATTGGGGATAATATTGGTGTTACACTCATCACAGATGATGGTGAGGTAAGTGAGATATTAGGACAGTAGAAGCTATTTACTGCTAAACTTGTCTGATGTGCTTTACTCTTGAGGGTTCTTGGTGGCAATTCAATTGTATTCTAGGAACTCGCAGAGCGGAAGATAATGCATGTACCCAGAGGAGAAGAAAGCAGCGAGCAAGATGATGATTATGAAGAAATAACTGGAAGTGAAATGGAGTTTCCATCTCAGGTAAGCTGCCTGAAGTTTAAATACATGCTATCAACAGAATCATTCAATGGCTGTTTCTTTTCATTACTGTATGAAAATACTTCCCCAAGTACTATCCATATCCTACAACTCTTCACATTTTTCTTGATGTCAGACCAAAAGAAGAAGAAAAAAGAAATGTTGTTTGGTTTCATGATAGTGGCTCCTGTGAGCATCCTTAAGCAGGTGAGATGGTAAGAGTCATGCTTGTCATCTCATAGAAAACTTGCTTTGTTAATAGTGCTGCAGTCTCTTGTCCCACGTAGGATGTAGCTTGCATGGCTTTGCATCAGAAGTGGAATTGATGTTTTGCTTATTCTCTGGTTGAATATGATCAAATAGTAGCATTGTTTGGTCTCTTATTACTGACACACTGAAAAATACTAGCTTTAATGTCTGTTCTATCTAAGCATCTGACCATGAATTAAAAGCTGTTACCCCAAGAACAGAATGCAAACACTAACTAGAAGTATCTTATTTCTGTGGGATGAAGTGACTTAGCTGAGACTCCAAACAGTGTCCCTGACTTGCTCTTAAGATAAATTCACACTGAAGAAACCTAGTATTTCCATTCAAAAGTACTGAAAGGCTGAAATCAAAGTTCTTAAGTGTATTGATTGCCTAAGCCCCTCTTAAGTTCAAGCATGAGTTTGAGGCACTTCTGTTCCAGCTCATTTCCAGGAACTACTTTTTCTTATTTTACTGTGCAAAATAAGAATCTCAGCCTTGCTTCGGTCATAAATACTCCCTTCAATACTTTCCAAGTGGAACTTCAGCACAGATGCAGGTCATGCTAATGGAGTTGACACAGTCAAATAGAATAGGCATGTTTTGCCTTCAATACACTATAACCCTTTGGCTACAACCTGCATGTGGTAATGCCCTGTGAAAGACTCTCTAGCCCTTCCAAATGACTTTTGACTGACCACATGACAAGTCTGAACTTCTGCATGTGGGATGCTCCTAGTGTACTTTGATGTACTAGTAGTCAGGTGTCTTTAACTGCTCAAGTAGTCCAAACCAGAACTAATAAAGGGCTTTAAATTGGTCATAACTAGACAGGTTTATAGACTGTACTTGACTCGGTTTGTTTCTTGACTTGAAATAGCACCAAGTCCCCCTTTGCTAGTACAAATACCGAGGCCCTAAGTGCAAGGGGATGCCTAGCTACAAATTCATCCTCTCCCTCCTGCTGACACAGCATATTGAGCTACCACAGCTCTTGCTAAAACTGATCCTACACAGTTACAAGGAGGACTTGCATCTTACTGCACCAGGTCTTAAAGCCACCACCATTTCCTAGGTATTTTCATAATATACCTGTCTGAAAACTTATCTTAAAAGTACCTTAGTAGTGTCTTTCTGAAGAAAATGTACCTGAGAACAGGCAGTTACTGCCTGCTGCTTGGTGCTTTCCTTGTCCTTATTTCAAACAGAAAATCTGGGTAAATATCTATTATTATAATACCATCTGGCTTAAAGGATGTTTATCAAAGTCTCCTGACTTAAATGCACATTCTTGTAATATTTTCAGTCTCTCACTGAAGGAGGGTGAGACCCTGTTAAATAAGCTATTGAGAAAGGTTTTATAATGCTGTTCTGGCCTTTGGGCTCTTAATGCACAGCGTACACCAAAATGGTTGAAGTAACACCAGTGGAAGCTTTAGGCTTATCAAGAGACTTACTGATACAAGCTTCTTTTCATGTTTGGAGTAGGGCCTCTCCAAGTTTCTTTTCTAAAGGCTCTTTATTTGAATTGACTAATAATATCACTTGTTTGGCAATCAGTGATGGAAAGCAAAAGTAACTTTTTTCCTTACACCTCTAATCTGTTTTATCAGCAACTTTACAATACAGTTGTGTGCCACTTATGGTAAGAATCAATTCTAATATTCCCACTCAAATGTTAATGTCATTCCTGTCTGCTGAATTCCTGTCAAACTCTTCATTAGTACCTATATGCTTCTGCTGCATTGGTAGTACTGAAATAAAGGCAGCCTAGTAAAAAAACAGTTAGCTTCTTGCATGTAGTAAAATGATGCAGAGAAAGCATGCTGTGCTTTAAAGGAAGGCAGGCTTTTCATGGTTTTTGCTTCTGCTTTTACCACCCTAACTAGGGTAGCATGAATCTGCATGCCAGTTAAATTTTGATGCTTCAGAACTGAGGCACTGATAGATAGCTTGATGGCCTTTCATTAAAGAAGGCACAGGCTCATGTATTGCATGGACTGAAATTCTTAAAAGCTTGGTGTTTTTTTTTCCCCCACCCCCAAACTGTCTAGTATAGTTAAAGTACTGCCCCTCTTGAAAATCTGCTTTGCTTTATTAATAAGTAACTAAATCTACAAAACACTAAACCCACCACCACCTGTATGAGGATCAAGTAGGTAACCAGAAATAAGTACTAAGTTTGTATGCACACCTGTATGAGGATCAAGTAGGTAACCAGCAATAAGTACTAAGTTTGTATGCGTGCTAAGTAGCCTAATGTATTGATGTTTTATTTCTGCAGCAAAATGAGGATCCTAGCTGTTCTATCATGTAATGGGGACAAAGAGATGATCACCTGAAAACACTTCTTAATCCCAGGTGACAAAGACTACATGTGTTTTGGTATCTTCTGCAATATATGAAACTTGGAATTCACATCTCCCATCTGACCTCTTTGTAAGAAACACTGTCCATGACATGATGAAACTTCCTACCTTCTGATACTGGACCCTGTCCTTGGATTTGCTGATATAAAGAGCAGTAGAATACAAGCTCCATGTGAAGCTACTCTTACTTTAACACAAGGATCTGTTTTCCATGACCTGCCGGAACAGAGGAGGGTACACAGTTTACAAAACTTCTGAACATAAGCCCTGGAAGGATGCTAAATATTTGACAATGAGCATGAGGCTGCCTCAGCTTTCTCAATATTCTGATATGGTGTTTCTCCAAGGGTAACTTCTGTTTTGAGCCTGAGTGGGAAACTGCATGGGTCAGATCGCACCCTAGCTTGCACCCTGACCAAGTCTGAACTTGGCTGAAGTAAAACAATATCCTGAAGAGTGCTGAGTGTCTGAAACGTCTCCTGCTCAGATCCTGATGCTGAAATATATGGAACTCTGGTCTAGATCACTTGCTAGAGAACTTCCTAGAGTGAAACATTTTAAAATTAAAAGCAGTTGTAAAAAATATTCTTGTCTGTTATTAAATGTACTGTTTCTGTATTCTAGCACCTGGAAATCCACCAGTTTCAGTATTGTATGTTCCTAGACACAGTATATCACAGTGTAGCTGTGTCAACCTTAACTTGGACAGATGTATCCTGTAAATGTGAAAAAGCATCTCATTCCAACAGAGAAGGTACTGTAACTAGCAATATTAGCATTCTGTTTGAATGGTCCCATTCAAAAAAAACATGCTGAAACAAAAATCAAAACTAGAAAGCACCGACTGTAGTAAAAGGTACCTCAGAAATACCTGCTCTTAGAGTCCTTAGCTCTGCGCAGTCTGTGGTACTGCTTTGTGTGTGTCTAATGGGGCAGCTGGGGGAATACTGTCTACTGGCCAGTATGTAACTTACTGTAACTTTAATAGCTCTGTAGTTCATGCAAAGCCTGACCGAAAACCCTGAGAAACCAGGCAGTCAGCCTCTGGGGCCACTGCATTTAATTATTCTTAGCCTCTTACTAAAATGCTTACCTGCAGGCTCTATGGTAAAGAGAGGGCCTTGATGAGCCACATGAAGTATGCTACTCTTCAAGAGCATGAGGAGAGGTGAGTAGCTGAAGGGAGAGGAGCAGCTGAGACTGCAGATTTCTCCAAGTGCTGGAACAGTTTTTTGACTGCCTCTTACCTTGCCAAAGTATTCAGTTCTGAATTTAAGACCTGTTCTGTGTTAGGATGCAGTTGTTAAAGTGAGGCTTTCCTTATACTAGTTGAACTCTTAAGTTATTTAAAAATTCTAGTTTTGAGATATCAAGAGTAGATACTGGTTTAATAAATAAATACTTGCATTTTAGCAGATCTGAATTCTTGTTGTACCTTATGGCCCACATAGAAATAGCTGCTGCTATAATCTTGCTATATTTATCTTGATTTCTTAAACTTTTTTAACTAATTAAAGATATTTTTCATGTATATAAAAGCAGTCTTGGACTTTAATATTTGCAGGTTAAATAATAAATTTGTTTGTTCATTGATCTTATTTGAATGGCTCAAAAGACTTTGAAGCAATGAAACTTGTTTAGGGAAGATTCCCTGCAGACTGAAGAAAGCTTCAGCTGTACCCTGTGCTGCTCTGTTTATATTTATCACTCAGCCCTGGACTGCTATGAACTTGATTTGAGAGGAATCTTCAGTATTTCAAATGAAACCTTTTCATAGCACAAGGGAAGGATAGTATTAAGATTTGAACAAGTGTACAAGTCCTGATAGGAAATAATGTTTGGTAACACCATCAATGGTCCAGAAAAACAACATCTATTTAATTACACAACCTACTAGACAGTTTATGATGAAACTTGTTGTGGCATACCATCTTAAAAAGGTACATATTAAAGAATCAAGTCTCTGCTGTGCAATGGATCCTATTGCGCAAATTGTCTTCCTGGTAGCAAACCTTAAAGAGGAATGGTTTCCTATGACCCTTCTATATACTTTATCCTAATCAGTAACAGTATAGTTCTCTTGACTTGCTTCCAGCTTACTACTTTTGCAATGGCTACTTCTGTTAGCTGAGACATCTATTGCAGCTGACCAGGAGCTCTATACTAAATGGCAAGCTGCCTACTGTAAAGCATATCAAGAATTCAAACCTTTATATATATATGTGTGTGTGCACACATGTGCTGTATAATTCTTTCCTCTAGGGAATTCTGGTGAAGTGAAAGAGACATTTCAATGCCTCTTTTCTTGCCTGCTGTGGAAAGATCTCTCTGATAAAGGGGAGGAAAAGCAAAAGCAGCTGTGAATCCCAAACACTAAAACCTTTGAAAGTTGTCCCATACATAAGTACTTTCATTCAAAAACTAGGCCAGGACAAGTTGCTGCTCTAGTAACTACTAGGTACTTGCCCATGAATTTGGAAAAGGGCTGATGAATTTTTTTTCTCTACATAAGCAAGTCCCAATTCTGAGATTATGTAGCAGGCTGTAGCCAAAGCTGCAAAGAATAACCCCTCTACTTCTCTTGTGATCATTGCACAAGCCAAGGCTAGAGATGAAAGAAACCAGAAAGCCATGGTTTTGAGAGCCAGTTAGGGGCTATTTATGCTTCTTAGATGGAAAAGTTACTGCACCTGTGACACACATTAACTTCTTTCCTCTCTAGGGAATGCTGTTTCAACTGGACCACAGAACCCTGATGAAGCTGGGTTCAAGCCAGTTTGCCCATAAAGAGTTCAGCTCCCTTCTCATCACCCTCTGTCTTACACAGAGAGCAACTGGCAAAAGATTACATGTTCCTCTGGGGCTGCTGAATTTTTTGGTCATTACTACATCTGTTTGTTTACTAAACAAAGCAGGAGATGGCTAACAGAAAAACAAATTAATTCTACCTCCATTAATAGTAATCAAGATGTCTGTCCTTCATTTTGAGGCTTTTTTTTGCATGTTTTTTGTTACAGAATGTCTTTCCTTCTGCACCTAGTCTTCTCTTTCTCCTCCAAGGGATGGAGAACATCCCTTTCAAATAAATAAAAAAAGTAGAAGCATATTGACTTTTCATTTGTTTGCAGCAGTCACCAGTGATACTCACCTATTTACCTCAACAGAGTTCTATCCAAACCCTGTGGAGCTAGGATCAGTTTGTACTTAGTTCAAAGGAATTTTTCTCTTATCCTCCTGCTAGAAAAGAATTTTAACAGACATGATAAATGCTACACAAGCAGTAGGGAGAGAGCAAGATTATTAAAATTCCAGTGGCTGAGGTGTCATAAAACTAATACTTTGGCTTTATTAATGCATTTTTAATGTAGCATTGTTTTCTTCACTGAAAGCTGATATATTTAGCAAAAGTGACCTCCAGCTCAAAAACAAATGCCAGAACTATAGGAATAGAAGCAGCAACCACTGTTCTTATCCCACAGAAATATTTATTCAGTTTGGTCAGTAAATTATAGGAATTTTCAATGCTGAGAACTTGTATTTAATACAACAACATCATAATATTGACAACAACCACTTTGCCTTTTGTCAACATACAATGTGAAACATGGATTAACTTGCTCACAATAAATTACAGTGTGATAGATAAAAAGAGCTCAATGACATCAGTAACTTGGGACCCGGTTACAGTTAGCCTCACTTACAGTATTTTTAAAAATGGTTTTCAATAGTAAAATCATTGCAGCCAAAGATTAAAAAAAAAATCCACATACAATAATAGCAAGGAAATGCATTTTTGGAGCAACAGTGAGCTACCAGTAAACACTTCATACAGTGATCTTCAAGGCACAAAGCAAAAAAACTGGCTATGGGTTTTTTTGCAGGTTGATGGAGTCAGGGAAGGTAAAATTTTTTTGAATATAAAATAAATACATTTTAAAAAGACGCATACAAAAGTCAGTAAGTCAGTCAAATAGCAAGGCTTTCACAGAATGCCACACTGACAGAACATTTGTGAATCCATTTCAGTCATGAAATCACGTTCACAGCTTGAATGACACAATCACTGAGGCAAGGGAACCATCACTTCAACGTAATTGATGGGGAAGAAGCCAGACTCTCCGTTTAACATCCCCTCATACCAATTCTCATCAATCTGATTGGTCAAAGTTATGATGTCCCCTTCCTTAAACCCAAGCTCGCCTTCATTTTCTGGCTCAAAGTCATAGAGAGCTTGGCAGCAAGGCTGATCCATGTGCATTGAAGAACCTGCCCCAGTGACAGAAAAAAAAAAACCCCAACACATATTAATAGAGCTTCCCAGCATCCCACCAGCCACTAAGCATAAAACAATGGGTCAAAACACATAGCCCTGCTGCCACGAGTTCCCCCCTCAACAGTTTTTCCATTGCTTTCACCCATTACCATCTGGTGCTTCTACATATAAAAAATAACACTAGTGCTAATTAGTTTAAAGCATAATTCTGTTTCTCCCTTAAGTTCAGATGCTACTCTATTTTCATTCCTAGTTGCCTTCCCTTTCAAAAGGATGTTTATCTCAAACTGATAGCTTGAGTAATCACGGATGTCAAAATCAGTGTGGTCTTCTCTTTGTGGAGTGGTGGCTAGAGGAATTGCAAGGGTAGGAGTTGAGGAAGTAGAAGAGTCAACAGGAGAAGAGGCAAGTCATCATGTAAGCAAATTGCACTGCAGCACGCTGCTACTGTGCGAATACATACCGGGGGCAGGGGCTCACAGTCAGTCCTACAAACACACACTTACCGCCTGGAGGCAGCCACCTGGATTTCCACCCCACACGTGCCTTTGCAGGAGCAAGGCTTCCAGCTGCTCCTGCGTTAAGGCTTCCACCCTCACCTCACTCGAGCAGTGACAGTCATTTCCGCATTACTGCTCCCAAGTTGACGTGTTCAAACCCTTTGTTGTACACATCCTTCATCTGAACTAAAGCAAAGGTTATGCTAGGAACAACGGTGCCTGTCAGACTATTTTTACAGATGAAAACAGTTTCCCGATACGGTATCCGGCTGTTCTTGTGACTTATGCTGTTTGCCCTGCTACAAAGATCTTCATTCCAAATTACTCTTTCAAAATATTAATGGTACCATATGCAAACGTAGTAGTAAGTACATATATTTACAGGAAAACAAGTAAATATAAACATGAAGTACAGAACAGAATCACCATTAGCAAAAGAAGTTAACCTTGTAAATGCAGTCACCTTTTTTAAAGATGGGGTGTTAATTGGCTTGGATTTGTGGTATGGATACATTCATTCATTCGTATTTATGAATAATAACTTATTCTAATAAAATGGAATCTAATGTTCAAACTGTAAAGCTTAGCCCTGTGGCCAAGGCCTAGCCAGGGGTTCAACTGAAGTTCAGCCGTACCAGATTTTTAAAACCATATAGGGCATATCCAAGTAAAAGTCTGGTAATTTGAAATATGTTTATAAAGGAAGAATAGGAGAAAAAATTTCATGCTGCTACCATGTAAACAGTAGTAAAACACGTTATAGCATGACAACTCTAGAACACTCCAGTACTTACATTAAAGCAGTTAAACCTCTTAAATACTAAGTTATTCAGGTTGTCTTCTTTGCAACATTGCAACAATTCTCAAATATTCTAGTCTTGACCCTCTCTCCCCACTATCACACATGCTAATCATGCAATCACCTTGAATAATGGGTTTTGTCTGAGTAAATCTGCACACAGTCGGTAATGCAATACAGATATAATAGCGAAGATGTTAAAAATGCATGCAAAAATGCA